AGAAGTGCATCTTTTCCTTCCTAACACTTGTGTGCATCTTGAGCACGGGAAGTATTAAGACCAAAAAGTTCATCTTATAGTTCAAAAAGTTCGTCTTTCAGGAAACACTGAAATAAAAGAATTAACACTTTAACAGACTCCTTTTTAGTTGGTGATCAATATACCAAATAACAAGCTGCATAGAAGATGAAACACAGTTTTCTTGAAGAAACAAGAATCCTAAAGCCATTTCCACGAACCTAACACCTTGCCATATAGTTATTTTTAGCTAAACTGATTATCTCAATCTGCCAGAAAGTGCTGACAAAGTTTTTCAAATACCACCCTTCACCCCTGCTACCTGAAAAGCAATTTAGCAGCAGTAATTAAACCAGTCATTCTCCTTACAAGCAGATTCTGAGGCCAGAATGTGTCTGCACTGCTGAAGCACCCAGCAATGGAAGCCAGATTCGGAGCAGGTGCAGGCACTTGAGCAAGCTCTTGTTGGAAATTGGTTTCACCTGCTTTGTCTTTACACCTGCTGTAAAGAGCGAGTGCGAGACAGAGTTAAAAGGAACACAAGGTGCTCATGGAAAAGCAGTGGCTTTAGACAGAAACACATGGCCATGATGTTACAGCTCCACTGTCAGGAGCTCTGGGGTCATAACTCAGGCTAGGGCTGACCAGGTCTCTTCTCTTCCCTCAACAGATCATATTCCTGAGGTTAAAGGAAACTCAGAGGTGTTTAAGCCCCTAATTCTGCCCCAAAATCCACAGAAAGTCAGGCTCCAAACTCCCTACGATCCCAATTTACCAAATTAAAAGCAGAAAGGAAAGAAACAGCAGTTTTTCTGACTCTTGAGAGTTAAAACAAACCCTGTATCTCTGCTTTCCATCTACAGATAAAGGCTGAGAGGGGAAAGGCCACAACAATGGGCACACAGGGGAGGGAAGGGAGAGGCCACAGTCAGAGCAGGTGAAACCAGAGCATCTCTAAGAGTCACATCACCCAGGTCTGCCCTTCTGACCACAGCCCGCTACAGGCACTAAAGGATAATCCTTCCATTCAAAGAATAATAACAAAAACGCTTATTTTTCATCAGGGAAAGCTGTTAGTATGACAAGGAAGTAAATGATTCATTGTTCAGTAGTTTGTTTGTTTCAACCAGTGACTTCAACTTGCAACATTGGTCAAAATGTTGCAACTTAGTCACAAAAAATAAGGAAAAAGGTACTTTAAAATGTTGAAAAGTGGAAACATCTTGTTTTTTAAGCTATAGAAGAGAGGACCTGGCCCAGTCAGGCTCTCATTTGTTAGAATATTCATAGATAACTGTATAAACTTCAGATCTACACAGGTACTTACGCACAGAATCTGTCCATGAAGGAAATGAACCTCAAGTTAAAAGAAATAATAATAATCACTTGAAAATACCGTCAAATTACATTGAGATCATTGCTATTACGGTAGTGCAAAACAGAAGCATAAGGAAATACTGCACATGTATTGAACTGATGTAGGTAAACCTGGTAGCATTGGTTTATCAGCTTAAACAATCAGCAGCTAATTAGCTGTGCGTTTAACAAGGAGGTAATAAAGTTTCTTGCTAGAGAAAATCAGATTGGAAAAGTCAACATCAGCTTAAACAAGATTAACTTCCTGTCCATTGCTGGTAAAATAAATCCAATTTACTAAATAGTTTAAAAGGGCAGTTTTTAATTATTTCACACCTTTCCAGAGGATTTAACACTGCATATACAGGTATACGGTTAGTTGGTCTGGTTGGACGTATAGAGGGACCAGCAACAGAAAATACCACTTGAAAATGCACAGGGGCTTCTTGACACTAAGAACAACCTCAGTCCAGAAACTTGTATTGCAGAAGCCCCTGCTGAAATCGGGGATTGTTATGGGTGGGAAAACACATATAATATGCAATAAAATAGTAAATTTGGAAGATTGCTTTCAGATTTTCCCCTAACTTCCTATTCTAAACAACCTCTAGGAATCCAAGTATTTGGGGCATATTTTACCTGATTTTAGCTGGCAACAAAGCATCCCTGAACATGCATACACAGAGCACTGCATCGTCTATAAATCTAAAATGTTTTAGTTCCAGAAACTAAGGTGATTCTGTAAAATCAAATGGGAAGAAAAAACAATGAGACACAAAATTCAAGTGAGCAGCATTCAGCTGTGTCAACGGAGACCAGCAGCTTTCACCAACACCACGATTAAAAATTGATGGTAACTTTAGGCTTCCTATCTTAGCATTCAGCAATGAAAATGATTAGTTTTCAGCTACAATGCAAGATAATAATATTAATATTAATAATAATGATGAAAAGAAACAGTTTCAGCCGAACAGGTTTGGAAGGAGACCTTCCAAGTTTATCTCCCTGTCCTTCCATCTTCTTCCCTTCCAGTCCTTACCCTAATATCACCCAGAGGGATCTTGAGCCAAGGATCATGAGACAAAAGCTCCTGCCATGCTCACAGACACGGAGATGAGAGAGGAACTTCCAGGGATAAGAATATTCCGACAGGAAGCGCCAGCAAAAATAACCCCCCGCTTCATAAAGAGGCTTTATCTTCCTCTTACTTGTGGAGAGGAGCAAGCAAAGGCCGAGGGAACCTTCCTTAATCTTTCTCCTTTACACAAACTGTCCTAAGCATAATAAAATACGTTAAAAAAAAACTAATAATTTCCGCCTCCCCTGAAAATCTGTGTATTTATCTCCCAAAAACCATGCTGAATGTTTGTATAAACTTTTGATGTGCTGGTTTGGAAATAGGGGAAGTTCACTGGAATCATCCCCCTAATAGGGTCTGACACTCGAAGGAAAACAATGCATTCAAATGGCAAAATAACATTTCCTTTTCTGAAGTTCAAAAGAAAGTTTCAAAAGAAAGCAAAGCCCAAGGGACAATTGCCAAAGTAGCACTGTTCCCCTTTTTACTTGTTCGATTTCCTCCATTATGTCCGTCCCAGCTAGTAACCACTGCAGTCCTTCCCCTTACATACAGGGACACCATTGCATTTCCCCTAAATTACAGAAAAATAGAAATTTGAGAATTGAAGAGCAACTGTTTCTTAAGCAGCAAGCGACGCAAACATTGCAACATCCAGCTGAACACACATAAAAGGAAGTAACCATATTCTCCAATAACATTTCTACTGATCTCTCTCTGATCCCCTTATCTCCTTCAAATCCTGACAATTTTACTTCAAACACACAAATCTGAGACTAAGATTGCAAGCTGAAATACTGAACAACATGTTTCTGTCAATTCGGGGTTATATACAGTATTTAATCACACAAATTTCAGTTGTGTTCCTTCACAACGAGCCCTGCTTGCATGTTCTTCATGACAAAACATATTTTATTTGCCAATCAAAATAAATTGCTCACCTGCGGCCAATATGATTTTGCAAAACTGGAATGAGGAGACATCTGTGCAAAGAAATTGTGTAGCACTAAATAAACATGCTCAGATGTTTGTCCCTATTCTGTGGGAAAAAAAGGCAATTAATCCCATATTCAGCCCTCAAACTCTTCAAATTCTTGTAACACCCTTGCAAGTTTTAACATCCTTATAATAGTGTGCGGTCACTTCTGGACTGGTAGAAGGATTTTAGTGGTTTTTGGTTTAGTTTCAGTAGCTCTGTTTTTACTTGCAGTGAAATACTTTAATTTCCAGCTCCTTGTCTTTTCACCCATTGCTCTAAGTCGCTTTCTGGCCGATGACCATGTTGGCCAGTGCAACAAATTGGACTTTCCTCCCCAGCAAAAGCTGTCCGAGTCTCTGTCCAAAGTGCTGTTTTCTGCACGGTCTTATGTGGAAAATGTAGAGGTTTTACCAAAACTACTTGTTCCCATCATCTTCTGTGAACTTGAGAGCCATCAAAATTCACTTTGGAGCAAAAAAAAAAAAAAAAAAAAAAAAAAAATCAAAACGGGACACTTTCTCCAAGGAGAAAAGGAGATAGCACTGCAAGTCCGTGCAATTTGTGCACAGAAAGCCTTAAGGCACATGGATATATGCTTATATATAAGGTTTTGAAAATCAATTTACCTTTTTCTCCATTTGGAGCGACTTGGTCAGCTTCAGAGTCCAAAAACGTGGGGGATCTGCCCTTACCTGATGCTCTATTTCTATCCTTTCCTCTCCTCCTGCCTATTTCAACGTCGCATGAAAACCAAGAAGGTTTTCCCAAAAAAGCCACCTCCATGGACACGCATCCACATTCAACCCCAAAAACCCCATTTCTTGATACTGAAGCATTTAACACGCTGCCATTTCATGTACGTTGGGAGCTCACGGCCGTTTCCACCCTCACTGGCGAGCGAAAATCCATGGATTTTCACCGCGCCTGAAAAGGACCAACACGGCACCAAGGGGACCCCATTAAAATGGCCACAAAGGCCACTTCACACAATGGGGAAAGAAAAAACGAGCCACGCACAAAGCCGGACGGCAGCCGCACGCTCGCCACGGAGCACAAAGATGTTTTTTCCAAAATCCGAAAAGCACTTCCAAGGAAACAGGCAGGCCGAGAGCCCAAAGATTCCCTTTAAAAATATATATAAAATAAAAGTAATGGGATTTTGGGGGGCGTTCCCGAGCTATCCCACCTCCCTCCGCCTTGGGAGATCCCCCCTCTTCCCGCTCACGGGACACTGACTGAACGGACTGAAGGGCCAGCGAAAGAGCAGAAAAACGAAAAAAAAAATTAAAAAAAATATTAAAAATAAAAGGAGGGGAACGAAAAGATAGATAGAGCCACGAGGTGGTTGTTAATTTATTTATTTCCTGGCAGCGCAGCCCCTGAGGCAGCGGCGGCGCGTGACCGTTGGCGACCGTTGGGCGCCGGCGACCGTTGGCGGCGGCGACCGTTGGGCGCTAACGGCCGCGCGCGCGCTGACAAAAGCGCCCCCTCCCCACGCCCTCCTCCCGCGCGGCGCTGTCGCGACAGGGCGCGGCGCTATCGCGACAGCCCCCGCCGGCCCGCACTCACCTCGCGCCGCCGCGGGGCCGAAGGGGAGCCTCGATGGTCGCCTACGAGGCGCGTCCCGCCGCCGCTAACATGGCGGCCGGCGAGCGCTGCGGGCCCGGCGGGGAAGAAGGCGGCGGGAATGGCCGCCCCGGCGCCGGGTGAGGGGCGGCCGGCGCACGCCCCCTCGCAGCAGGCGCCGCCGCGGCCCATGCGCGTTGCCGCCGGCTCCGCCCCGCCGCCGGGTGAGGGGCTGCGCGGGGAGGCAGGGCGGGAAGCGGCGCGGGAAGGCGGGGTGCAATGGGGAARGGRGTGCATGGAAAAGGGGGGTGCAACGGGGAATGGGGTGCACGGAAAACGAGAGGTGCAACCGGGAAAGGGGTGCATGGGAAAGGGGGTTGCAATGGGGTGCATGGGAAAGGGGGGTGCAATGGGGAAGGAGTTGCACGGAAAATGGGAGGTGCAACAGGGAAAGAGGTGCATGGAAGAGGGGGGTGCAATGGGGTGCATGGGAAAGGGGGGTGCAATGGGGTGCATGGGAAAGGGGGGTGCAATGGTAAAGGGGGATGCATGGGAAAGGGGGTGCATGGAAAAGGGGGGTGCAACGGGGAATGGGGTGCACGGAAAACGAGAGGTGCAACCGGGAAAGGGGTGCATGGGAAAGGGGGTTGCAATGGGGTGCATGGGAAAGGGGGGTGCAATGGGGAAGGGGGATGCATGGGAAAAAGGGTTGCAATGGGAAGGGGGTGCATGGGAAACGGGGGTGCAATGGGGAAGGAGTGTGCATAGAAAAGGGGGTGCAACAGGGTGCACGGAAAAGGGAGATGCCACGAGGGTAGGGGTGCATGGAAAAGGGGAGGTGCAATGGGGAAGGGGGTGCACGGAAAATGGGAGGTGCAACAGGGAAAGGGGTGCATGGAAAAGGGGGGTGCAATGGGGTGCATGGGAAAGGGAGGTGCAAAGGGGAAGGGAGTGCATGGGAAAGGAGGGGTGCAATGAGGAATGGGGTGCATGGAAAAGGGAGTGCAATGGGAAGGGGGTGCATGGGAAAAGGAGGGGTGCAATGGAGAAGGGGATGCATGGAAAAGGGAGATGCAATGAGGGTGGGGTGCATGGAAAAAGGGGGAGTGCAATGGGGAAGGAGTTGCACGGAAAATGGGAGGTGCAACGGGAAAAGAGGTGCATGAAAAAGAGGGCTACAATGGGGTGCATGGGAAAGGGAGGTGCAATGGGGAAGGGGGTGCATGGAAAAGGGGGTGCAACGAGGGTAGGGGTGCATAGAAAAGGGTGATGCAACGAGGGTAGGGATGCATGGAAAAGGGGGATGCTATGGGGAAGGGGGTGCATGGAAAAGGGGGATGCAATCGGGAAGGGGGTGCATGGAAAAGGGGGAGCACAATGGGAAAGGGTGCATGGAAAAGGAGTGTGCAACAGGGAAGGAGGGTATGTGGAGAAGGGTTGCGATGGGGAAGGAGGATGCATGGAAAAGGGTGCAACAGGGAAGGAGTGCAATGGGGAAGGGGGGTGCATGGAAAAGGGGAGTGCAATGGGGCAGGGGGTACATAGAAAAGGGAGATGCAACTGGGTAGGAGTGCATGGAAAAGGGGGATGCAACAGGAAAGGAGGGTGCATATAAAAGGGGGTGTGCAATGGGGAAGGGGGATGCATGGAAAAGGGGAATGCAACAGAAAAGGGGTGCATGGAAGAGAGGAGTGCAGTGGGGAAGAAGGTGCATGGAAAAGGGGAGTGCAATGGGGCAGGAGATTCATGAAAAAGAGGTGCAATGGAGAAGGTGCATGGTAGTGTGGAAGGGGGGGGTGCAATGGGGAAGAGGGATGCATGGAAAAGGGGAGTGCAAACAGGGAAGGGAGGTGCATGGAAGAGGGAGATGCAATAGGGAAGGGGGTGCATGGAGCTGCAAGGATGCAGCAAGGCAAGGGGATGCACAGGGTGGGAATGGGCCTGAGGGAAGTGCACGGAGCAGCGCCCGTGCAAGAGGAATGGGGAGTGCCTGGATCGGGATACACAAGGCGTGGGAATGGGGCTCTGAGGAGCGCATGGGACACGCTGCAATGGGACCGTGCAGGGCACCAAGCAGGGGAGCTGCAAGGGGGACCCGGGGTGCACAGGAGCAGGGGGCCCTCCTAACCAAATGTAAGAGGTCTGCGCTTTATCTCCAGCACATGCGTTATTTCCTATGGAGAAATCCTCCCGGGCTTTGGAATGAGCCCATCGGCCGTAGGAGTCGGGAAGGACGTGGACTTAAAAGCTTGCGGCGCTGCTGGGCGCGGGGACGGCCGCCAGCATCCTGGAAGGCAGCACATCCACGTGGGATCCAAAGGTATCCACTTGCATCAGGCCTGAGGAGCAGTAAGACAAATCGGACAAGTGTCCTGCAAAAAGTGCCAAATATCCCACATTTTCCCAGTGTTAGATTTTTGCTCATTGCAAGACAGGAATTAGTGTTGTATATTTACGTGGAGAATGAAAATATCTATAAATACATGCAGCTATTTTTAGAGAAGATATTCAAGTCTTCTAGTGTTTGGGTGTCCCAGATACAAACTGATGAAAGGAGGAAAAAAATCAGGTATTTCATAGGTTTTCAGCATATAGTTTATACATAGTCTAGCTTAACCCTCTTTTGCAGAAATATCTGTTAAAAGTTTGTTTAAACCAACAAGTTATTTATAAAAACGTAATAATCTTGGAAAAGAAATTTTTCCAAGTATCACCTACTCAAAGCCCTTAGTTTTCAGCAGACTTTTGAGCCGTATAGAGATTAACACAGACTGCAGAATTACAAAGCTGGAGACTGTGGGCAAGCTCAGTACTTATCTTGCCAGAACTGAGGTTAAAAATCATGCTCCGCTGTTGTCCAACCATCTAAACCAGCACTGCTGTCAATGGTAGAGCTGTTCTCAGGGGGGCTGGACTGTCACCTGGGTGTGACTGTCACCCCCCAGGTACCTTCCTGCTGGCAGCAGTAGCATCCTACAACCCCGAGCAGTTTTGCATTGGAAAAGGTGTTTGGCTCGGCCTGCATCACTCTTCATTATCTCAGCGGGCAGCAGATTCAGGAGCCAGATTTGCTGGGAACATTTATTAGATTGCGCCTCTTCTGGGGATAGCTAATTTCTTTTTATCTTCAGATTCCATGACTTAGCATCATAATTAGCTATTAGACCTATATGCCTGTGAAGCAGAGCTGCTTTTTTTCTCTTTTTTTTTTTAAGCCTGCTTATTCTAAGAGTCTTTCTTTTCTCATTTCTAGGGGAGTTTTGCATGCTTGTTCTAACAAGTGCAAGATAGCCAGTGGGAATGAGCTCTTTAATCCTCCGGACGCTCCTTGCAAGGAGAATGGCCCTGGGATGAAGCTCTTTGGTTGCTACAAGGTATGGCTCTTGGTTAAGATGCTGATTTTGGCAGTGGTGAAGTGCTGGGGATGGCCCCTGGCAAATTCATCACGTGCAAGATTTGGAGGGCAGAAGGCGAAAGTCATGTCTTCCAGTGAGAGATGCCCTCAACTGTGAGCTGACCAGCAAGTTACACATGGATCTGTTCTCCCTTGGGTGCTATGGTATTAGGGTGTCTTCCTGAAGCATTAAAAACAACACAGAGCACCCAGTGAGGAAGCTTTTCCCCGTAAAAGAGCTTCTCCTTTTCTGCTTCTTGCTTTATCGAGCAGGAAATACTTGTGTTTCTTACCTCACTAGCTCCTACAGTACCTGCCATTTATTACAATTTACTTTTGAGACCATTTTTCTAGCTGCCTTGTCTATTCTTCAACCTAATACAACACCCTTTGATTCCTGTTGTCTTTTTGCCTTTGCTTACTTGGCTCGGAACATTTTGTTCCCTGAATGTGGGCCCTGGTTCTCTCTTTTCCTCCATCAAGCTGCAGCAAATGGGGAACAGGGCTTCAGAAGTGATCAGTCAACAAGCATAAACACACACACAACTGCAGCTAAGGCTGTTGATGTATCTTTTTCCAAGGCTTGTCCCTGTTTTCCACGCTCCCCGCCACCACCTACGTGTGTTTGGAAGTGGTTTGCATGCAACCTCAATGTGTTTTCCCGGTACCAATTGCCACAGCATCAAAGAACCTGCTAAAAACCAAATAAGAGGTAGCTGAAAAAGCAGCTACGAGGACTGCAGATCTTACCTGAGACTGCTCCTCCCTTATGGATTACGCCGGAGTTTGCACGTGAGCTGAAGCATTTCCCTGCCCACCCCAGGGCCTGTTGAGACCTGTGCAGAGCTGCAGCTACACGGGGTGTTTCAGGTCGAGAAGAGAGTCCATGGGGAATTAACTTGCCAAAACTGAGGCACAGGAGACTGTGCACTTCAGTTTACACATCCACCAAGCTCCCATGTTCAGTGCCCAAGATCCCATTCAGCAATTTCTTATCTTAAATAGTATCTAGCCTTAGCTGCCTGGCAACATTCAGTGTTTCTGCTCTTACAGCATTGCTGAGAGAAGGGAAAAAAGCCTTAACCCTGTTTTGTAAATGGACAAGCCTGCACAGACTGGCTGTGGTAGGGCAGGGACTGTAATCTGGGACACTAAATTCTTTATTAAAACCCTAATCCCTGGGCTGTCCTTCTGCTTCAGACAGAGTTCAGGACGGATGGTGTCTAATTTGTCTGAAGTGATGCATCTGCCACTATTTAAAACTAATTATTTTCTTTCAGTCCCTATTTAAAACACCTTTTTTTCCCCCCCCTTTTTTCCCCCCCCACAATACTACCAATTCTTTTTCTTTCTTTTTTTGTGCTGGGATCACGATTTAAAACCAGAACTTGCTATTTAGACATCTCTGTCAGAGCCTTGTGCTTCAAATACTCCAGCCAATTCCATTTAGACAAGTGGTACCTTGGGACTGATTAAGGTTGATGCCTGAGCTGGTTAAAAGGGCAGGATCCAAGCACGAGGTTTCCAGCATTCACTGGGTGCTGAGAATCAAAACAGCTCCTGGGTTGCCTGAGGATCGTCTTCCTTTTCATTTTATTTTTTTTCTCAACATATTTGCAATGGTTGCTTCTTAATGGGAAAAAGAGGAGGAAAAATTCAGATATTTCACAGAGAATACAGACCAAAAAGAAGAGCATCATGGTGGGAATGTAGAAGTAGGTCAGATGCATTGCAGACTAAAAAAAATCATTATTATGATTAAGAGAGATTAAGGAAGGCAAGAGCAAACAGCATCAAAGGAATCCAATTTATCAAGCCATTTAAACAGGAGCATTCCTAACAAAGCAGGTTCTCCACACCCTACACCAATGTGGAGTAAACTGAGAGAAGAATACCCCATGTTGCACATTTATTTTCATATCTAGTCATTTGCATATTAATCCATGACCCCCTGAAGAAACCTTCTTTTAATTGCCATGCAGAACTAATGCTGCAGAAGCAGCTCCCCACCCTTCCTTGCACGAGCTCTTTCTTTCAGATTTTTCTTTTCCAAAATAAAAGTTGGGTCTCTCTAGGTAAAGAAGAAACCCATGGTAATAGTGGCACTTGCTGACAGTGGTTAGTTCTTTTTAGTTCATGCTGTTGATTCAGTTTTATTAATACATTAGGTGCTCGACACAAAATAAACAGATTCTCATCCCCAAGATTTCACATAGCAGGCAGTTTATAAGCAGGAGGATCTTTTACCTGAGGACATCAAGAGATGCAATGACAAGTAAGTCCTGTTATTTTCCTTTACTCTCAGATAGAAGCTTAGGAGATTAAATACAAACCCAAGGTTCTCAGTAGTCTCAGTTTTTAAGGTAAATCAAGCTATGCTTAAGGTTGCGTAATGAATCCGAGACCGAGGTGTTTTCAGCCTTCTCTCCTGAAATATTCTACTATGGCTAATATCTTTTAACAAGTACATATTTCCATCTGGCTTCTTAGTGGAGCTGCTGAAGAACACTTCCGAGTCAGAAAGCTTTTTCTCCCTAAGTTAAAGCAGCTCTAAATAAACTTTATCAAGGAAGATGACCCCATCGAAGAGAGAAATGCTGCTTTTCTCCTCCACAGGTGAATGCATGGCTGATTTGACTGGCACATTACTGATTGCTCTGACTCACTCTGTCTCCTTCTCTAAACTCCTTTTTCACTCTACTTTTGACACAGCTCCTGTGTCCCCAGTGCCCTCACCTCCAAACCCAACCCAATTCTCACAGCAAGGCAGTTACTTTGGGATTGGAGGTTCTTTTGCTTTGAGACACAGTGATTTCCCCTCCAGCGTGCTCTTCTCTGCAGCAAGAAACCCACCTGCTACTGTTAGCCAGTCTCTGCTGCATGAATTTTGTTATGACCTCCAAAATTTGGGCCTGTTTCTACCCAGTACCGCAGGCTTTTTGAACCTGCAAGTGGCTTAGCTGCATTTCCCTTGACATCACACCAAGCTGGAGTGCCCCTTGGATGTTTTTTTCCCCCATCAGTCCAGGACAGAAAAGGCAATCTCCGAGGTGTTTGACAGAGTGCTGCCATGTCAAATGTTCCTTAGCAGGCACAAGCCGTCAGATAAATTTAAACAAGACGTGGATGTCTCCCAACAGTGGGAAAAACGCTGGCTGGACACATTTCTCAATAGCTGAACGCTGCTGCCATAAAGGCTGCCGACTGGTTTGCAGCCTAAACCAAGCCCTGCAGATCTGCTGACCGAGGTGAGACCCATAGCTGGTTTTAGAGATGTCATTAACAGCACATTTGATGCCACTCATTTCTGTGGGCTTTCCATTCCAGAGGAACTTTGGGCTAACTCCTACTGCCCATAGCGGTTGTAGCTCTTACCTGCCTTTCAGGTTCTCCAAGCACATCCAGGACTGATTCTGCTGCTCGTATAGTACGGAAAAATAACCTGAGTGAGAAATAACCTGTGTTAGAAACAACCTAGCTTGGTTTTATCCAGGCAGCAGGAGTTGGGTGGGTGGGAAGAATCTCACCCCCCGGTCTTATTTGGATCTCTTCCGAAGATTGGCTTAAATGGTGAAGCAAGATACTTATCTATTTTGATTAAATTCCAGATCATGGTGTTTCTGTGCATGTTAAATACTTCCTTTCTGCCTTGCTACCACAGCATCAGGCTGTTGAAATTGGTACAGAGTCACTGGCTTCAATAAAGCCACATCAACTTGTACACCTGGTGAGCTATTGATCCCTACTGGGATGTGCTTGTTGCTTAGCAATGCCAAATGCCTCAAAATCAACAGCCCTCCGTTTCCCAGGTCAGATCCTGGGGTGGTTTTGCACATTTCAGCATTTCCAGCACTACTTTAGAGCATCCCTGCAGTGTTGGGTGTAGAGCTGGCTTGACTGTATCCAAATGTGGGCTTGGAAAGGGAGAATAACAGCTGTGTTGAACAAAAATGCAGCCTATTTGTATGCCAGCACCTACAAGTGCACTTTAATTGCATATTTTGCACAGATTTGCAGGGCAAAATCAAGCCTAACTTGACTGGTTGGATGCCTGCTCTGTTCCCAAATGTCTTCCTGACCCTTGTGACTTCTTGCACATCCTTTTACCCTCTGCATGCCTGGGATTCCCTATTTGCCAAACCACTGGCAGCGGTTTAAGACTTAATTAACATTGATGAAGAACATAGCAGTGCTTTGAGAACCGCTGCATACGTGGCATTTCTTGCCATTAATATTCCTGTTCCACCTTTAAGCTGTCAGATTATATAAATCTCAGCAGCTGCCTTAGAGCACTGAGCGCAGCTGAAAGCTCTCTGAAGGAACAAATTCTCCTCGCTTTAGACTCGGAATAAAACAGCATAATTGCATGGAAAGATAGGGCAGCTCTTACTGAAAAGGAGGTACAAAAGAGGAAGCAAGAAGCTAATGCAGCGCTAGGAAAAGCAGACATAGGCAGAAGCAGCCAACCTGATGAGGCACCAAGTATCACCCAAACTAGGCTGTAGAGAGTGTCTAATAAACACTGTGACATCAAGGGGCTTTTATGAGCGCCTTGTCTGCTTAAAACCCCACACATGCAAATGTAATAGCCTGAGTTTAATAGCACTTTATATGCTCTTGCTGCTGTTTCCTTTTTTAACCTGAGATTCTCAGAGCTATTTCAAGGCATCAGTGGGACACCCGGAGTCGTTTGCCTCCTTTTTGACAGTCTGGCTGAACTGAGCTGGAAACTTTGTGCTCTGAAGTTGCACATTAAGGATTTGCTGGGCTAGAGGATTTCTGCAGAGCAGTGCTTCTATGGCAATCCTATAGGGCACTTCTAAGTAAACACATACATGAGGAACAAAATTATGCTGGCAATTAGTGAACTCATAAGCAAGAGGTGATAAATCATGTTGTCCAGAAATCCAGCAACATTTACAACTTACTTATGCTTTCCTAAATTCCTCTTTATCACCTAATAAGAACTTTCCTAGGCCTCAGACTGCTGCTAATTCTTGCATTGCACTGCAAGCTGCTGTCACATATTAGCTACATTTTCATGAAATGACTGGATCCAGAATCACTTGTGCAATTATTCCTTATATAGATGCCTTAATTACAGCAGTGAGATGTTACAGGGTTAATTAATTGTTGCTTATCAAGTGCCTTGAGACTCATGAATGATGCTATGTATGTGCAAAGGATGATTAGTTATTAACAATGCTTCCAGCTACTTGCAGGATAGAGAATTTAGTTTCAGTGCAAAATAAGAAATTTGCAGTCTAGATGGCTCTGTGATATATTCCAAACTGCAGGACAAAATCTAGTCACAAGGAAAGGAAGATCTGTGTCTGCTTTCCAAAACAAAGCCTCATTTTGTAGGAGCTGGCTTGAGGATATGTTTTATTTCCTTCCAGAGAACAGAGAGTCCTAAAGTTGGATACTTGACAGCAGGGATCATTTTTGGAGCTGTAGGACCTTTCATTTGTACTGGCACAAGGAGAATTCAGCAAATCCCATCACAAAATTCCTTGGGGAAAGACTTTTGCTGATGTGTACAACAGGAACATGGGGCACACCTGGAAATCCTAGAGGTTTAAACACCCTACACTTCAGTAAGAAAGATTCAAACAGGGATGCTCTTAATATCTGTATGCTGAGGATGCAGCCTGGTCTGCAGTGATTATTGGCAAATGGGTAGGGAGTTCTGCCATCCCACGGAACCTGGGGAGGAAGTTAAAGCAAATCCCCTTGGAAAGCCTGGGTGCCCATCTTTGGGCATGAAAGACAGTTTCTTTAAATCTTTCTGGATCATGTGTCTCAATTCCTGTTGCTCCAGGGGATCTGGAATCCAGGCCTCATGTTCTGAGGTGCCAGAAACGCTCTGCCAGGCTGCTCTATGCACATCATACAATTACAGCCAAGTTTCATGCTCCAGGCTGCATCTCCCATGATTAATCCATCATAATCCATCCCCACCATAATTCATATTGAGCTCCTGGGGTTGAAGTGAGGGTAAAACCACCTGCAGCTCTGGCCTCTCAGCATGAGAGGTCCAGTTCACAAGGCTTTGCAAGAGCCCATTGCCACCTTCCTGTTCCAGCCTCCCTCTTTTTGGCTCTCCCTTTTCCCTGCTTACTCAGCAGCATCTCAAACCAAGATTCAAAGCAAGGACAAAGGCAGACAGCCCTGAAAACGCTGACTTAACTACTACACCCCATCATTTATGCACCCAGGGAGAGAATGACTAGGATATTCCTTATGGAAGACTTTAATCTCCTTGCAGAGGTAGACACACAGGAGAGAAATAAATCTACAAACATCACTGCTAAAAATAAAAAGCTTAGATGAAAAGATACCTCATTTGCCCTAACATAGCCTGCATACAGAACACAGAGGGAGACAAAAAGCTGCCTTTGTGGCTGCTTTTCTTTCCCTTTCCTGCCTATAGTGTTTTCTTAAAAGCTTTGGGAGGTCAGCCTAGCATATTAACCTCTTGGAAAGCAAATGGGGGAATATAAGATGCTACTTGCTTGTTGTATCTCAATTCTACATTAATATCTCAGCTTCCTTGCCCCAGGTAGAAGCAGTTTTGTTGGCCCAGTTACAGCCAGCAAAGAACATACCCCAAGTAATGGCTTTGGGCCCTATTTTCTCCAGGAATCCCCTTGGCATTCCATCTTAATTCCCATTAGCTCCTGCTGTCCCTTTTGAGGGAGCCCAGTGCAATCTGGCAAAATCTTTTCAGGTCAGCAGAGGTGCTCGGGAGCCGCCTGCAAAAATAGCACAGACACTGTCTTGCATCTTTCCCAAAAGGAAGAAAAAAGGCTGCTGGACTTTTGTCCTTCTCCTCTGCAGGGAATTCCCTCTGCAGGACCTGCCCTGAGGAGGGAATCCGGGCAGGAATGTGCACATTAAAGGGCTTGGAGCAGCTTTACCTTCAGTGTGGACTTGCCTTTGGTGCATCCTAAGGAAACAGGATAAAAAACTCCATATTCAGCACATAACACCTACAGATGAAGCCAGAAAAAGAACCTAGAAAAGGAGAAATAAATGATTTCAGTGATATCCCTCCCTTTCCTCACTGCCTGGAGTGCTGGAGCTTTTACAGCCCTCTTTAGGAGACACACTAATAGCATCTGATTCACCTAATTTGTGTTGAAAACATGAAATCAGCTTAAAGAAACACAATTATGGAGCACTAGCATCCTTCCTATTCAGTACAGAGGGAGCTGAGATGCAGAAAGGGTGACTGAATCCTCACACTCCCATCGTGAGCTGTGAGGACCAAGAAAAACAGCAGGATGTCCTGATTTTGAGCCAGCTGAGGGCAATCCTAAATTCACAGTATTTCCCACAACTGTTTGGCCTGGAATGGGAAGTCCAGGGTGCAGGATTTTAGTAGGGCCATTGATTTGGGGGCTGACACACAAAACATCTGTGTCCTGTAGAAAAACCTCCTCACTCCATAATTTTACCTAGACTTAGGCAGAGCAAGTAGAACTAGCCACTTAGAATAAGAAGAGCAGGAAATACTTTAAATGATTCCTACCAAAATTAAGTGTTCTGCTTAATTCATAATTAATCCTAGCCTGTATAAGCTGCATGGTGCCTGCTAGGACCTCCAGCTTAGCTGCTTCACAACCCTGGTCTCATCTGAGGGCTCCCTGTCTCCAACTTGGCAAGGGAGGATGGGAGCAGATGCCAAGAACACAGGAGCTTTTTCACAGGGAAAATGAGTCTCTCCTGGGGAGGTCCTGGGGATTTAGAGAATGCTGAGCCTTGAAAAAAGAAGAGAGACTCAGAAAGAGAGGAGAGACATGCAAGCAGGAAAGGAATGGGCTGAAAGAAAAGGATGAAAAAGGAGGACAAGAAAAATATGCAAGCGGGAGAGGTTCAAAGACATTCCTGTGCTGCTCCAGCCCATGAGGACCTCTCTTCATCTGCATTTCCTTTTCCCCTTCCATTGGGAATGGAAGAGTCATGTGTAAGTGACCCTGCACGCCCCCTCTTTCCCTCTCCGCTTCCTTTCCCAGCAGCATCTCTGGGATCTGCAGCCATCTGGCTGCTCAGTGCAGCATGAGCTGAGCTCTTGGAGGTCTCCTTTGGAATCTGGTCCTGATTTGAGGATTCCTCCGCGCCTTCTCTGCGTGTTTATGGCCAGTTTGCTGCCTTGGAGCAGCTCTTGCAGCTGCCCCTCTGTCCCTGAGGATCTCCTGCGCTTTCCCGTCCCCAAACTTCACAATGTTCCCATTTAGCCTGTTATTTTTATGCCACTTCTCTCATGTTTCAGTGCTTTCTCTTAGCACCAGAGCTCTCCACCCCACGCAGAAGCAGTTGACTGAGCAGCAGCATCAACCTCCCTCCTCCTCTAATCTCATCCCTCCCAGGTCAAGGCACTGACCTCCAAGCCATCGCTGGAGGCGGGAAGGGAACATGGAAATGATTCCAGAGGAAGTTCAGCACTGGGATAACAAGCAGGACTCCTTGGTCTCTCCCTTTGCACCACAAGGAAAATGCTCAGTCTGGTCTGCTTAACTCCTTCACTTCCAGGAAGGAGCAAGGTAACAGGAAGACAGAAGGAATCTTTTCCATGAAAGCCCCTTTTGTTCTATGTTTACAAGGACATGGGGCACCAAGGATATAGGAGGAAATCTGTCCATGTTACCTTCATCCTCCTTTCCTCTCCAAGGAGATATCAGAGGTCAATGATGAATTTAACCATACAGCTGCTGCAAATTGGTTTCTTGATGGACTCCCCTGCAGAGAACAAATTGATGCTGCTGAAACAAAACCCACATTAGAGCCTAGTAGGGAAATAAAGAGGGAATATTAGCCCTGAGTAATCCAGACCTCTTTACTTCATTCTGTCTGTAACAAGGAATTCCCCAGTCATTTACTGGAGCTGGACACACCAGGGCTGGAGGGAAAGCTGATGCTTTATGGACCCTCCCAGGGTTCTATGTGACCAGTAGCATGCAGGGATAGTGGCCTGGGATCCGTGCCAAGGAGGTCGAGCAGCCACTGACAGCTTCCCAGTGGCAAAGGACATGGACCCAGGATAATGAAACAACTGCATCCTGCTGCTGCTCGTGACAGCTTCCAGATGCTGCTGTAAATGGTTCCAGATGTGGCCCAACCGCTGGCTGCTGTGAGCACCCAGGCATTGGTGGGAGGGAAAGAGAGCTACATCCTCTTCCAGGGATGTGTGGGAGAAAACTGCCTTTTTCCCTACCATTTCCCATGCACTTGGGTCACGGGGAGCGTGTCAGCATCACTCAGAAGTGCAACCCGAATGGCAAAAGCCTCTGGTAAGTGTCACCTTCCAATAGCTCCCAGATGTGCATGGCTGGGCAGCCAACCAGGGCACAAAAAATCCTGGAAAACTGTTTTCTTCCTTCCTTATGCAGCACCCACTCTCTCCCACAGTGGGAAAGGGAAGGGGGGAGACAAACCCAAGGGACCACGGCCATCACCTCCTCCAAAAGGCAGGGAATTTCTCTTGGCAATTCTTACTCACAGCCCGATACTTCCCCCTGCTGTTCCTGGGCTGCCTGACACTCCATCTCAGTGCTGCCATCACAGCTCCCCTTGGTGCCCACTGAACATTTTAGGGCTCCAGAGCCTGCCAGGCCAGGAGCACCTTCACTAACACCAGAAGCAAACAACCTTTTGAAGTGGAGTTTCAGTAAGACTGAAAAACAGCTCTTAAAAACACTAATAAGCACACACAACCAACTCTCACAAACCCAAAGTGGTTACTCTATGTTATAATAGTGGAAATCAAAAGCCAAGCAATCTCATTGATTTTTAAGTATTGATTTCAAGCTGAATACATTCAAATCAAATAGAACTTCTCTAGGGGGCCATCAAATCAGAACTGGGCAGATGCTTCTCTGAAGATGCTGTTTCATTCCCAAATCACTAACCAGAGCAGTTCAAGGGCATCTGGCTTGAGGCATCAGGATGACTTGAAGGTACCTGCTTTGCTTCTGTGAATGTAGTTACTGCTTGGTTGGGACTGAGAAAACTGGGCTGCCCAGGACTAAAGATTAATCCCAGAGTCACTTCCTATTCTCCTTTCCACCCTTTTATATAGAAAGCAGCAGTCTATATAACACCATGCTACTAAGCCTGTTGCATCTTATGTAATTCAGTAATTTAAGAAATTTGAGAGCTATCCCAAGCTATTTCTCATGGCTCATCTTTGCCTCCCTTCCTCCCCACATGAAATACGTAAAATACTGATGAACAGTCTGGGATGCAACAGGAAAATCAGGGGTACCTGTAGCACACACAGATTCCACAGGGATGTGCTCAGGGAAGAGCCAACCCCTCAAGCTGATGGAACAGGCAGATAACAGGCCAAGATAAAGCATTTTTTGGAAGAGGACCAGCAGTTTTAATGACTCATGGTCTCGTGCAATATAAAACAATACTGTGGTTTCTGGTCACACAATAGCTCTGCATTGCATCATGCATGTAATGCTCACAGAAAAAAGCACAAGTGTTTTATATTTCTTACTACACCCCTTGCAGCCTTCTTCCCCTCTGCTCCATAAAGATTTAGGGTTTTGGTTCCCTCATCCCAACTTTGCAGCAAAGCCAGTGTTTCTTCCTGAAGATTAGTAATTGGATCCCGTGGCAGCTCTCGGATATTTTGATGCTAGGCCCTTTAAAAGCATCTTAGATGAGATAGCCAGATAGGAATGCATGATAATAGATTGAGCAGACAGGGCCATGTGCTGAGTTACTTGTTATCACTGCAACCCATTTTCAGTCATGTGAACGCACTAAAATAACACCAAAATAAGTAAAATAAGCAGCTTCTGAAAGCTTTTTGCTCACCATAATTGATTCTATATATGTGTCACTGACAAGAGAATCAAAGGACAAGGAATAAATCCTGTCCTTGCTTGGCTTTTGCTGGCTCCCTAAAAACCACTTTGAAGGGATATAACAATACTCTGAAGGCCTCAATTAGATTTTAATAGAAATTCAGTTATTAATGGGCTCAGCAGGAGATGGCAGCTCTGAGGGGACTAGCTCAGGGTTACAACCAATCTCAAATGCTGCTTCCAAGCCCTGGATCAGGCTCTGCCGAGGGGAACCTGATCCCGGGAAGGCCCTGCGGGATGCCATTCACAGTTATGATTAGAAATGTCCCAGGAATGCAGGGGGAAGGAGGAGCATCCCGGCTGCCACGGATAGCGCCAGCACGCTCCCGAGCTCGCTCCGAGGTGACCAGATGGCACTGGCCTCTTTTCCCAGTGCTTTGGATTCGGTAAGGGCACTGTTTCTACACGCTCAACGCTCATTCCCTCAAGTCTATCCATTGGGAATATCCAACTTGTCTCTCCGCTGGGGGATTTTGGCAGGATTTGCTGCAGACCCCCCTTCCCAACAGCTTCACACAGCAGTCTGGTCCAACAGCCAGCACCAGGGGAAGCAGAGACCACAGACCCCTCCTGTAACTTCCCAGGCTTATCCACTGCCCTCTGGCTCTACAACGGCCAGGCTTTTCTAAATAACCTCAAAAATTCCCTCCTAAACAATCTGAATAAATCCTAAATGAGCCTCACTTGCTCCTCCTGGAGTAGGATTAAAGTTCTTTAAAATATCTGCACAAATACCCCCAGTGCAGTGTCAAAACTACTAGGTTTAGGCTAGCCAGCAAGTTACTTAATTCCTTTGGTTATTTCCAAGTTATTTGCAGATAGGTTTCATGTTTTCTCCCTGACCTGCAGATTTTGTCATTCTTCTGACATACTTGGCTTTAAGCATGATTCATAAGGATCACTAACAAAGCCTTGGACTAATTCAATAGACCAGCCTACTTAAGCAGGACTTGCAGCTGAATGTTTTGCCAGAAGAGGGAACTGGAGCTCTATCTCCCAACAGCTGCTTGGGCACAACTGGCAGCCACATACTGAGCAAGGGCTGTGGATTAAGGCACTTCTTGACCTCTTTCTCCTGGGGTAGCTATTGGAAAAACCCTCTGGAAGATTCAGAGCAAATTAATTATTCTATTAGATCAGCTTTGCCAAAAAAACTAGAAATTATATCACATCTTTAAACAGTCATTTTAAAGCTTCATTATTTTGGTATTACAGATGCTGTTTGAAAGCAGCATCTTGAGCTTTACTTTTGGCATTGCAGTTTCTCAGGAGCCAGGTGAGTTTATCTGACAAATACATTTCCAGCAACATGACTTGATGCCAGCCTTGTTAGTCTTGCAAGGACTCACAGATATGTTCAGCCACACTTAGGTGAGGTTCTCCAGAGGGATTTTAAGCTAGTCCTGCTCTGAATAAACCCCTGCAGAGTTAAAAGTCCTATTGCTTCTATATCCTCCCTCAAGGCTTCTCTTATATTTCATTTGTTAAGTCTTGCTTCAAATGGGCATGTGCATTTGAAGACCATGCATTTTTGTACAGTAACACTGAAAGAATAGATAGATATAATAGCCCAGAGGGTATTTGACCTTGGGATAAAGTCCAGGTAAGAAGGGGATATGGGCAAACAGAATTAAGACCAAGAAGATGCCAACCAGCTACAGCAACACCCTTTCTGTGCCTTTCTTCTATTCCAATTTCTATTGCACCATTGTCACATTTGAGTTGCAAGGACCAGCATGCAGACCCCACACTTATTACTATTTGTAATTAATTGTTCCCTTTAGCAACAGCTTCATTACTTCCCTCTCCGTCCCGTATCTCCCAGCATCATCTCCAGCTCCAACAGATTCCACAGCTCTTTATTTGGGGAGAGAAAGCTTCAGAGACACTCACAGCCTTAAATGTAATGGAAACATTGGTTAATGAATGAGCCCTCGTTATACACATTACAAGGAAACACTTAATTGACAGTGGCCACCGGATCCCAGCATTTAATTAATAAATCTAGGTGGCGTCATGTACACCACAGGAAGGGATTACAGGGGTTAATGTGTCTGTCTGGTGGACTTTTATGGAAGAGCTTCGTGGCCTAGCTTTTAACATGAATAACCCGCCAGTCTGCAACCCCACACTTGCAAGAGGGAGAGTCAGTGGGTCACAAGAACACAGGAGCCCTGTCTGAATGTCCAAACAGGGGCTGAAGAGCTGCTGAGGGTGCAGCAGACCAAGGAGGGGTTTGTTAGAGCTCATAGGGGGACAATAAGCAAAGCCAAGTCTAGTTGAAGGGCTGTGGTGTCCTCCCAGGGATCAGTACTTGGTCCAGATGCCCCTGCTAGAGAGCAGCCCTGCAGAAAGGATCTTGGTTGACACCAAGTTAACCATGAGGCAGCAGTGCCCTCATGGCCAAGAAGGCCAATGGGCTCCTGGCTGTATCAGGAGGATGTTGCCAACAGGCCAAGGGAGGTGGATCCTGCCCATCTACTCAGCTCTGATGAGGCCACACGTGGAATATTGGGGGCCAGTTCTGGGCTCCCCAGGACAATAGAGATATGGAGCTTCTACAGATGAGCCCGCATAGAGAAACAAAGATGATTAAGAAACTGAAGAATCTATTGTATGAGGAAAGACTAAACAAGCTGGGTCTATTTAGCCTAGAGAAGACTGAGAGAAGATCTGATCAACACATCTAAGGGCCTGAGGGGAGAACATAAAGATGGGACCAAGCTCTTCCTGATAGTGGCCAGTAGCAGGACAAGTGGTAATAAGCACATGTTGAAACACCAGAAGTCCCATGTCCATATGAGAAGGAACTTTACTGCAAGGGTGAGAGAGCCCTGGGACAGGCTGCCTAGAGAGGTTGTGGAGTCTCCTACTCCGGAGATCTTCAAGACCTTCCTGGATACTACCACATGCTATAGATGCCCCTGCTAAAGCAGGAGGTTGGACTAAATGACCTCCAGAGAAGGCAAAGCAACAGCTCCCAACATGCATCTTTACTGAAGAGACTTATCTCCTCCAGCCCAGCTTGGCTAAGCTCTACAGAGCTAACTAGAGCCAGCCTAGCTTATAGCAGCCTATGCTCTGAGCTGCCCTTCTACTGTTTGTGTGCAGATGGTGACAGCTAGACACTAGATAAAGAAAACCCCTCTCCGCTTGGGGTAATTCTTCCTACCAAGGGAGTTCTTTGGAATATAGAAGATGTTTGTCCTCAAACACAGGAGCATCATGCAGCAATGTGGCCATACCTGTTCTGCTCACAGCAGCAGGACAGAAAAAGCCTTTAACCTGTTCTTCACCTTCTAGTCATGGGACCTTTACCACTATATCCTCAACAAGTCCACATCCTTCCTTTTACCTGATATATGAGACCTGTAATCACACATTTCAGCACCAACATATATGTTCCCCTAAACTTCAAAGGTATAATTATAAACAAAACCATAAGACCTTTAGAATAAAAGCAACATACAGGAATTAAAAGAAAAAGAAAACCTTGCATACATATAAGTATCCTTGATACTTTTCATAGTTAAGAAGGAATATTCTCACCTTTAACATAGACCCATAGTTGATAAAAGTAAAGCTTCACATATAATAGCAGTTTTTCAAGCACAGAGCCTTAGAACATTCCTTAGATCATTATTACTACCAAACTGCTGAGCTAAAAGCATAGCATCCCCTAAAAAACACATTTAGTAAAAAAAAAAAAAAATCTGATCTCACTTACCATAAAACAAAGAACTTTAATAAGATAACCCCTTATTTCACATGCTATGTGGGCTGCTTTATCCCCTTTTTATAGTGTAGAAGGCACTTAGCAAAATGACCCCTGATTAGTGTTTGCAGGTGGGAATATAGGGGTGGGCACCCTTCCTTTCTTATAAATGGGCTGATGGCAAGTTGAGGCTTTCTCTTTCACTGTGAAGAGGTGAAGGAGAGTTTGGAGGAATGGTCTGTGCTCTTTCTCCCTCTAGCTGAAGGTAAAATATTTGTTTTATTTGAATAAATAAAGTGATAGAAGAAGAAGTGCCCAACAGTAAATGTAAAGACCTTGCTAAAAAAAAGAGATAGATTAACTGGGAAAAGGTGCTGTAAAATGCGAAAAAAAGTTGGAAGTAGCCCATTAAGTGTTTTCTAATTATGGGTGTAATGAGTAGCAGGTCTCTGGAAGAAAGAAGCGCTCATAGCAGGCTGGTAGCTAAGCAAGGTAAGAAGGTAGGTAACATAACTGAGCTTCTGGGTAGGCTGCCCAAAAATCTTCTAGTTTTTTGCTAAAACTGCTCTTCTGCTGTTCTCGGTGCTGTTTGTGTGAGCTGGACAGATAAACTTACCCAGGGAGAAAAATGAGAAATCTGAGTCAAGGAGCTTGGAGAAGGTCCTTAAACATGAGGGGCTTGGAGCTATGCACCAGTTGTTTGATGTGCTCCTCCCCTCTTACATCAATAACCCCCTGAAAGCTCCTGGGCTTACCCAATGGCACCAGGGTCTTAACAGCTACATGTGGTTCATGTTCTCATTATGCTGAATGGCAGCAGGGTTATGTCTGATTTTTTGATGTTCCTTATGGATGTGTGCTGCTGTGTCTCAACCCTAAACAAGGGGACAGCCCTTGTCCCCAGTCAGAGCAGAAGTAATACCAAAACCTGTGTCTGAGGGTGAACAGAAAGGGCAGGAGGCAAAGCCAGGCACTATAGGGATGAGCAGTGGTAGAACCTGGCTGAATGAAGACTGTGACTGAAGACTGTAAGCACCTCAGGGGTCATTACACAATTGTGTGTGTGACAGGCTTGCTTCTTCTAGACCACATTTATGTAGACAGGTCATTCCTCAGGGCTAAATCGCTTATTCCAAGGCTACTTTGAAGAATTCAGGGTTGTAAACCTAGGGCACCTGGGCTTTTTGAAGGCATGGTGGCCTTGATTTCCTTGTGGCTGTGCTGAGATGCATCCATAGGTTGGGATTTGGGGTTGTGCAGAGCCTGGAATGAAGAAGCCTGTCTAGAAACCAGTTATAAAGATCAGCGCTTGATGGCATCAATAACTCCCTCTGGGCTTCTTGCAGGCTGAGATAGTGGCAGATTGTCAAAATTACTTAATGTCCTGGAACGCCACCCATTCTGCTATGAATAGGCTCCTTGTGTACAGCCCACACGATCATCGTGTTTTTCTGGTGTCTCTATGGAGACTGGAGACAGACTTCTGCACTAATGGCTTGGGGTTTTTTATCTCTGCTTTCAGGTAAATCATCTTGTAGGAGAAAATAAAAAAGGAAACAAACACACATAATCCTTGTGGATAAAGGATTAAGCATCTCCATTGTAGAACACGAAAACATCCTGGTCCTTCTTGGAGAAGGGGTTGAAATAACTTGGTTTTTCTTTTTTTATGTGCTATGGTCCGGCTTGGCAGAGACCTAGTAAGCCTTGTGCAAAGAAATAATTGGCCTTAGGCAGAGCTGGATGAAGCTGTCTGAGTTCAGAGGTGGATCCCCATCCAAATGAGGCTGGAGAAGGGCCTAGAGTGAAGCAGGGTTGGAGTTGGGGACATCTTGCATGCCAAAAATCAGGGGAGCTTTGAGATGTTCCAGTCCCCACCAGTGATGTTGTCATGAGATCAGAAGCTTCCCCTTCCCATTGCCCTTGAATCTTCTAGAAAAGTGATTTTAAGGGTATCTTTGTTGCCTTGGCTGTATTAATATAGTTTTTTCATTGGGATGCTGGAGAGGATCATGATTTGGGTAGAAGAGCCAGGAAAAGTGGAATATGCAGGTTGGATTCCAGGTAGGAATGAAGGCGTGGAGAAACCACCTCTTATCCCATTAATATCTGTTTCTGGGCCTATTTCTTTGATATCTCCTCTGGCTTTTCTGCTTTCTCAGCAGTGGTCTTGTCCCCAAACTGCCCCCAGAGGCTCCCATCGGTGCATTTTACTGCTCGGGATAGCAGGATGCTCCTCTGCATTCCTAGTCGCTGCTCCCGAGCTCCTTAGCCCGAGTTTACAAGTTGGCTTCTGGGCTCTCAGCTATAGCAAGAAAAAACAAATCCCCACTTGCTGATGGTTCTTGGCATCAATGTGGGTGTACGTGGTCTCTATCCAACACCCGGAGAAGCAAAAGCCACCCCATCAACATCCCTCTAAATGCCTTGGGCCCTGCCAGCGCGTCTGCCTTGGCATTCATAATGATTTATTCTCTCCGGTTGGGTACGATGAGCTCATGGAAACTACTGCAGCCACCACGGAGGGCAAAACCTGCTTTGGACTTGGTGGCAGCAGCCCCAGCAAGTGCCGTGACCTCTGCAGGGTGCAATTCCCACTGCGCAGCACCCTTGGGTGCCCAGCAGTGTCCTGGTGCCCTCTGCAAAGGGGCTGAGGTGAAGTTTGCAGGTGAGTAATTCTGCAATATCCCTTCTACCCCACTGCAGGCTCCTGCTTTTACAGATGCCTTCCAGGAGGTGGAGGAGGCAGCTTTGACTCCTGAGCTCCCAGCTTTAGGAGACTGCAAAAGCCCAAGGGACTTCTTGAGTTTGTCTAATTATATGTGTGCATGGAGCAATTTTGCTCTCCTGCTCTTAAAAAGGGCTTCTGAGCACTGGCCATTTACAGTAGGAAACCCCTTTTACATCCACAGGATGAGCGTTGGTGTCTTTTTATTCCATGATTTTCGTGCCCTGAGACCCTTAAATTCGTAGCCTCTGGATACACTTGAGCAAAACTACCTCCTTCTTTCTAGCTACGCACTGGTTTTTTTATGTCCCCCCCATTTTGGATCGGATATCAAACCCAATATCCCGCCGAAAAAGGCATTTACGCAAGACCCGCCTGCTGGTGTTTAACAGGATTGGTTGTGTCTGGTGGATCTGTATTTTCAAAGGGCGTTGGGTTTCAGCTGAAAAAGAGTTTTCCAGTGATGAAATGCCCCGATGTCGGGGGCTTGAGAAAGATGCCTCTGCCCTTTGGGTCAGGAAGAAGGAATCTGGGACAAAACCCAAAGTACTCTGAGGCTTAGGCACTTTTTTGACTGAATGGGCAGATGTTTTGTTTAAAAGAGGGGGTGCATTTTAAATTCTTTGAATGTGAATCCTGTAGCAGTCTAAAAGCTCTGGATGAGATTCCTGCCCTTATGCTGCTGATCCCAGTAAATGGCAAATGCCAGGAGAAATCACAGCCAGATATTTGGGATCCTACCTAATGCAGTGACACTGCCGAACCTTAATTCCCAGGCCTTTATTCACCACCTTAGGACAAAACAAGTGCCGTGGTTGTGGTAGGTTGGAATCAGTGCCACATATAAAGGACTGAGTAAAATTTCTCCTCAAAAACTCCAATTGGGAAGTCCACATCCTTTCCAACCGTTCTCCAAGCTCTCCTATGGTGTCTTTCTCTTTCTGCCCTTGGCCACAGCCCCCGTTTGCGAGCCGGGGAGCAAGGGGGACTCCGACAGCTGCGCGGGCTTTGAGGCTCCTTGGCAGATGTTGGCGATTGCAGCCACTTCATTAATGTTGGAAACAAAACCCCTGATTATTCCTGACCAAAGCAGCCCCGGGTTGATTGACAGCCAGCGTGTGTTTCGTAGAGCAGAAACCACCACAGAGCTCGGGCTGTTTAATTTTTTTAATTAAATATATAGATTTGAGATGTAATGCCCCCGTTCTTCCTGGTAACTCATTTCCAGCAAGGGGGTCTGTGGAGCCTGGTGGCACCGGCCCCACATTTCCATTTTTCCAGCCTTTCTGGGGGGGACAGAAGCACATGGACAGGCAGAGACCCTGCTCCTTAGGTTGTGCATAAGCTACAAGGCAACCCCATGGTCTCCTCCCATCCTGATGTCCGGGCTGGGATTGGGATATGGAGCAAAATGCCCCTTCTTGCCTGCTGGTTCCTGCTTTTCCAGGCTTGCAGTCGGGAGCTGGCTCATAAATACGTTTGCAATGACGATGAGCCAGCAGGTTTTAAGTTGATATTTGCCTTATGGCTAGTTAAAATGAATTGGAAACGTAAATGTCTGATAAAATGCCCTACTGCTTGACTTAAGTGAGTATTCCTAGGATAATGAAGTCAGGAAATCTCCTTAAATATTTGTAGTTTCCTTAGGAATGAAAGGAATAACGTAAATGCTTTCAAAATAGCGACGCGATTGGGGCAAAAACTCCTTGAACCCCTTAGTTCTTATCGTTCTGCTTGAATTCCTGTCTGCAAAATCACTTTATTAGAGTAAAAATGAAAAGGTTTCTAAAGAAACACAATTTATTTGAGAAGGGCATTAAATGCCCTTCTGCATTTAATTGGAAATATATTTGGGGTTTTATTTGGGGTTTTTTGTCTTGAATATAATTTGCAGCTACAGGTTAATAGAAACGACGTATTGAGTTTTTAAAGTGCCCTTGAAGGGCTATATTGGAAGGGTTGTATTCCCTTGTGTCCCTCTTTCTGCTTGGAGACAGCGGGTCACTTTTTGTTGTTGTTTTGGCGCTCCCCAAACGGGTAGAAATAATGAAGTTTGCAACCAATTGCTGCTTGCAGTCGGGGGGAAAAAAGAAACCGTGCTTAAACTGAGTGTTTATATTATTATTTGTAAAACAAGGACATGGAAATGGAAGTTAAGGGGAGGAAACAAAGCTAAATAATCGGTATTGCGGGGTGGGAGATGGTTGTTGCTCTCCACAAAAGCAGCTTCGGGTTTTTTCCCCCCCTCTTTTCCTCTCTTTTTGCAGCCGGCAGCGAAAGCAAAAGCGGCGCCGGGTGGGGAAGCG